TACCCGTGTCTCGTCCGCACAACAGAGCCAACACACACTGACACCGTCACTTCGCCCGACTTGACCATTGCCCGCAGTACTGAATCGTTGCCGGAGTTCAACGGTGACCTCCGGAGTGGGCTTAGGACTTGTGTGCTTGCGAAAGCTAGACAGTATTTCTTTTAACATACCCCGCATTTCGTCATTAGTACCAAGGCCCTGAATTGCACCAGTACTGTTACTCAAGAAGAACTCGAAGTCACCCGTGTCTGTGTTGGCAATCATGTTACCCGTCGTCGTGCCTTTTCTTGTCCACAGTTGCTGTTCTATGTCTCAGGATATGACCATCACTTGCTCCTGCAGTAGCTGATCAAGCTATCTTCGTCTCTCAACAGCAACGTCGATTTCGGTCTGTGTCATCCGAACCATGTTCAACGCCTCCAGCTCAAGCTATCTCACACTTCGTCGCCATTACACCTTTCAGGCATGTCTGGCCACCAGACGACTCTTTGATTTTAAAATTCAGTTCAGACAATGTATGTACTGCTTGTCCTCCTAACTCCTCCTAACGCAACCCCCAGGCCTTGCTTCATCCGAATTGTCACGTCTACGAACCTCTCAGTACACAATCTCATACGGGTCGACTGTGAGTCTCCTAAATTGTCTTATATGAACGCTAATTAAGCTCTATTGTTGCATGTAGCACCCAAATTTCATCTCGTGATCCAGGAACGTTCCAATGGTGAGATTTGAAACTTAGCGATTCGTGGAGCCGACATCGGCAGAAATGACAGTGTAGGTGTCTGGGATATGGCCAATTATTTTAGACATGGCTTTCTATTTGACGATGCACTCTATAGCAGGAACGAGCCATTGGATCCACGATGTCGAGGTGACAAATCGCGACGAGTGTGTCACTGTGAAGTCACCGTCGACAAATATCCTCGTCGAGTGGATCTGGTGCAACCAGTCCGGTGGAAGCGCTATTGGGTCTCTTGGCACTGATACGGCCATTGAGAACAACCTTTACCGAAACGTGTACACAAATAGTGGCAGTCAGATCTTCCTGATTAAGTCGTATGGGGAGGGTCTGGATATTTGCGGAATGTGTACCTACAGAATTTCCTTTCTCATAATACTGCTTATGGACTTGACGTTGACCAGTATTGGTCTGGACAGTCGCAAGCGGATGGAGCCGGTGTGCAGCTCAGTAACATCACGTTAGTTTCTTGTTGCAGGGCTGCATGTAAAACTGCCTACGTCTGACTTCGTGTGTTAACAGACTTGGGATGGCTCGGCCGTCGACGGAGTGCAACATCCGCCAATCCAGTTCATCTGTTCCAACTCTGCCCCATGCTACGACATGACGCTCAAGAACACCACGGTGTGACCTAATACAGGTGAGGCGGTAAACAAATGTCAGAGTGCCTTTGGAACGGGATCATGCCTCAAATCCGGTACTATCGACAATTACAATGTTATAACAACGACAGTGTCGAGGACACCAGGTTTCACGTCCCTACCAAAGCTGTCCGGAGATTTATCCGAAGAATTTGCTACTGATGCGTCGATTCCGATACCGTGAGCAATTTTGAGCATCTCTGCCCGCTGCCTCACTAATAACCAATTCGTAGGGCTATTCCGTCAACATACTACCTCGGTCTGCCGCAAATTTCTCCGCCTGCGAAGACCCCTTAGCTTTCATCGTCTTTGCATTGTAGACAGGATTGATACAATCAAAGGTCCACTCTCATTTACGAATCTAGTGTTCATTGCTATTGTAGCACAGGAGATATTCTAAGTGTGCTCTGCGCCAATGCGAGCATCTTCATTATTCTTAGACTAGATTATTCTTTAGATGTTTCTGACTTCGGGAATGCGCCCGCGGATAATGTCCGCGGCTTGTTCACCAATCGTGTAAGCTGTGCCTACAAATAGATGACTTAAGCCCATAGTACTATGAAGGCTGAATTTTGAACCTACATTGTGTATGTGCTGCAACGTGCAACGGCACAATGCTTAGATCTGTGATACGAATGTTCTGTGCACCGTAGACTCGTAAATTTGCGTCAACCACGCCATTTAGAGTACGTGGAAGCATGCTTAGTGTGCCCGCAGTATCTTGCAAGAAAACGTTAAGAACTAAAAACTAAAAACTAAATGTTGAACTGCATACGAAACGTTGATCCAATGTTGTCCTTGATATACTCCTGGATAGGTCCGTCACCACCGATTGAGGGGCCTGGGGCAACTTCGCGTACTATAATTCCATGAGACAAAATATCTAACAATCAAACACAAAATCGACGTTGACTTACAAATAATGTCCTTAAAGGGCTCAACTTCAGCAACTTTCCGAATAAATTTGAGAGTTTCAGCCATAAGTTCGAGATCTTCGGTAAAACGAAGTTAATGGAACATCTCAACTCTATATAAGCAAATACTACCAATGGGTTCCTCAAAGTAATGGGGATCCATCTCGGGCTGAACATGAGGATCTTTAGAAGTAACATGCTATTAATTTGTTCAGAAGTCTTCTTGTTAGCAATAAAAAAAAAGGAGACTCACGATTGTCCCACGACTGAATGGGCGATTCAAAAGCAGTAGAATAGTAATGTACTTCTTTCCTGGCTCAGGTGCTTATGGGAGAAAAGGTCAAACCACTCGACTAATCCAAATAACCGTAGCAAGTACTCACATCCTTTCCCAAACCATCCTGGAAAGCTGGCGATTTCACTCTCTCCTCCAGGACCATTCTCAAAGAAGTCAAATAACTTTGCAAACTGCTCGGAGAGTCCCGGAGGTAAAGAGCCCTCCTCCTTTTTAATCTTAATGCACTCGCGTTCTCTGGCAATGATTTCGCTCGCCTTTTCGACAGATGAAACGGCTGAAAGTGGGAGGAACGTGAATCCGGAAATACTCGTTCTATATGCGCCCTGTCCTTTTGCACTGTGTTGATTCAATTGAGCCCGTATGTAATGCAACATGTCGCTAGTGGGCTTACTGAAGGGAAAGCTGTGCCTCCTTGTACGCTGCATCGGTGAACGAGTCAAGGGTCTCAAAGCCGTACTTCGGGTCCAACTCTGGATATAAATTGTCAAGATACATCGAATCATGATAGTCAGGAGTACTGTACCGAAAATCACTCCACTATAAAAGTGTTCCTGCATGTTTTCCCCGACTCCCGGAAGATTAATTTTTGACTCTATTCCGAGGTGGTCTAAAATGTTTTTGTTTCCGATTCCGGACAACTCCAAGATTTGAGGCGATTTCAAGGCACTGACATCTTGCTCATCAGTTTTGTCCATCCCGAAGAATAACGTTTGCATTGCTCACCCAGCGCTTACAATAACCTCTCTGGCGACAGAAACAGAATGAACGTTCCCCTCATACTCGAACTCAATAGCACAAACTTTCACTAGATTGTCTGACACATCTTCATAAATTGTCCTATCCGTGACGACGCGATGAACTAGAGCACCGCAAAGGACCCGAAGATTAGGCCTTGTCGCGTTAGGACGATAGAATGCCTATATTGAATGAGTAAGCTCAGTCTGATCAGACAGTAAATGTACCATATACTGTTGCTGCGTAGCTCCGAGTATGTGACTTGGGATCAAGATTGCATGGAGCCATCCATGTTCCAATTGGCTACATAATGAATATAGTCAACTTTTGCCAAAAACGCAGTGGACATGCTACGCATACATCACCGTTATTCTTATATTCCAAAACATCAAAACATACGGTCAGCACTAATGAGTCTGAAACAATAGTCTGCATTTGACGTACCGGATCTTTTGCAACTTTGATACCTGCGTTGAGCAATGCCTGTAGTACAGGAGCGAGATTACATCTTGTCAATATCTTCTTGTAAAGCTAGACACACCTGATGGAACGGAATCTCCGGTTCAGCTACGACAGATGGGAAAGTTATTTTAATAGGTCCTGAAGAGCCATACGAATCGACATTGTATTCCTGCCTGTATTTCTTTGATAATTCTTTGTCCGGAACTGAGAACCTACACCAACAAAGAAGTGACTTCATGTATCACACAACTTTCAGATCAAATCGTCCTGAACTTACCCCTCGCACTTCTTCGAATACTCGTTAAATCGGCTCCAATTCCAACCAGGGTTTCCCAATACTTCCCACGCATCTATATCTGCTGCGGGCGGTTTGTTCCAGACCTAATTCGGAGTTAGCGAAAAAGGGAAACATCTCAAACAGTTAGTCCTCTAGCGGTTTAGGGAATCACGTACATAGAAGTTAATGGCAGAACTTCCACCAAGTACTTTTCCACGAGGCCATGCAATTGAATGATTATTTGCATGCATTTGAGGGACGGTTGAAAAGTCCCAAGCATAACATGGATCACCGAGATGTATACCGTGCTGAGCGGGAATGTCTACAGTGTGCATATCGAAAAATAAGTAATGAGAAGTAAGTACTGAACAACGGCTTGATAGACTTGCCGATGTTTGGATCTCCAATCCGCTCGAGCCCGGCTTCGAGCACTACAACTGAAATATGCGGATCCTCGGACAGACGAGCTGCAATTGTAAGCCCTGCTGTCTAAAGTACACGCAGACATTTCATTAGCGATTATCGTTATACGTGTGGGGATGCGCACGTACTCCTCCTCCTGTCAAATGATTCGAATGTGAACGTCAATACGTACAACCGACAGAAAAGATGAATACCGATGACGACATAGTCGAAAGTCTTTCCAGAAACGTCTTGAATAGCTGCGCTCATCGTTTAAGCCGTGAAGGGGCAGAAGATAGTTGGGGTGGGTCGACGGATTCGAAAAAACACCTGCGATTAGGCACCCATTAATATTCTTATGTATGAATGAGGTGTCTATGTCAGGCCAAATGGAGTGGCCGAACTTTGAATTTGCTCAGGGAGACCGCACATTTTGTCCTGAAACATTTTCTTTTCGGATGATGGCAAGCAGATGCATTTCCAAATGAGTAATCGGTTGTTCGGGCGCGGCGATGGTACAGGAGAGCATCCTCTCCAGAATCTCCAGAATCCCCGAGATTGGCAAGCCGTAGTTGCAGAAGGCCGAGAGAGGGCAAAACTTTGTCCCGTGATAATGTATGTGTTTTGATCACGGGACCGAGGGTCATGGCATTAAACACATGGGGCATTTCACAATTCCTTACCTTAAAAAATAACTTACATAATGATAAACATTATTTGAAATTTATTTTCCCATTTTTGACCAGCAAAAATTATAAACAAAATTTAAAACTTTCTTTATACAAAAACTAGAAATTATTGTTAACATTTCTTCATTTGTGAAATCTTTAAATAAATAGAAATAATAATCTAAAGCATAATTTCAAAACAAAAT